CCCCCCCCCCCCCAGCTGCCCGCCCTCCTCAGCAGTAGTTAGCACAGTGAGGTGAGACCCTCCACTGGCATCCTGGTTCCTCCCCTTGACACTTGTTTCTGGAATCAACCCTCCAAGTTTCTTGCCCTTGCCCCCAACCCCACCTCCCCTTCCCTTCTCCAAGACCATGGCCCTCGGGGCCTTGCCTTCTCCTGAGAGGTGGAGCCTTGCCCTTTCTATCCTTGAAAGATTCCAGGCTTTGTGGGAAGGGGCATGCATAGAATAACAGGGGCTGAAGCATCCTGGCTCGCTCTTTCTCGCCCTGTGCTGCACTCAGGCGACAGTGCTGTGTGACGTCATAGTCCTCTACTGCATGAAGAAAAGATACTACTACCGGGAGAAGAAATACAAGTATGTGGAGGATTACGAGCAGGTAGGCCGCCTCCTGACCTCCAGCAGGCAGGAAGGTCCAAGCACCTTGCCACCTCCGCCTCTTTTTTGTGCCAGTGGTGAGCACCTGGGGCGCTGGGCCATCTGGGGGGAGACCCGGGTGCAAAGGTGGCACTCCTTAGACATGTGGTCACCCCAGGCAGCGGCACACTGCTCACTACCCTCATCCTCCGCTCCATTTCTAGACCATCTGTACTAGTATTCACTTCATACTTTTCTTCAAACGGGCTCACTCTGTAAAATCTAGCCTCATTTTAATTAGTGACGTCTCAGGTTACTTATAATCATGAATATGATGACAAAATCTATGTCCACACACTCCTTAAACTTGCCTCACATAGCAAGAGGGGTTGGGTACCATGCTTTTTGAGAACCCATGCACCAGGCTAAGCTGAGTATATACAGTTGTGAAGGGCTGCCCAAAGTTCTCAGGGTGAGTGCCTGGCTCTCGCCTGCCCCAAGTGGCCCAGGCTTGCCTATGGGCAGCCCATGGTGTCTATACATCTATCCAGAAGCGTATCAGTCAACAATAAGCATACCTTTCTTTGCAGGGGCTTGGCAGTGAGATGGACCAGTGATGCCTCCACACCTGGGCTCCCCATGGGCCTCATCAGAGCACAGCGAGGAGGGAGAAAAGGCTGCCGTTGTCACCCCAGAGAAAGTTCCAGATTCTGAGTCCATCTCCACTGCACAAGAACTTCATGGTTGCCCAGCTGCTCCCGTGTTTTGTGTGTAGGGCGTGTGTAGTAAACCACCCTGCACAGTGGGTCACCTCAATGTGGGGTTGTTGGGGTGACCTCTGGCCTAAGGGCTCTGGCCCTACTGCCGCTGCTGGGCAGGGCCTCCTTCAGGACCAGCCTTCCTCAGGTGCTCCAGTCTCCAGGCCACTGCGAGACCGGTCCAGCTGGGGCCCAGCAGCTCTGTTCAAGCACTTTATAAGGGAAGGAAGGGCACCTGCGTGTGGTCACTGGCTCTTGGTCACCCGGTCCACTCTTCCTCCCCCCAATCCATACTGTCATGGGACAGACATGCCTGTCTTCTCCTTGAGAAGAGGCATGTCGAGGTGATCAAGGACCAAACATTAAAACGATTTTCTCAATCTTTGTTCTCATAGCATGAACTAGAACTTTCCTCTCTTCCCTTTTCCTTCGACCACTAAACCCATTTGTTGTCACAGCTCACCGTGTTCAGAAAAAGCTTCCTGAAACAGTCTGTTGTTGGGGCTTTAGGCAT